GGGAAGGGCTGCAGGGCCAAAGGGAAATGGGGGAGACGCCTCAGAACAGGCAGGGAGGAGGGGAGGGATTTGGACAGGAGGGCAGGTGGGAACCCCAGAGACGCGCTGGTCACAGCTCCAGGGAAGAGGAGCTTGGGGCGGCCTTTGGAACGTGCCACCGCTCCCTGTCGAGGTAGGTGGTCCTGCGGGGGTTGGACTGTTCCTGCTCACCTGGAGGAGGGCTGTCGGGTCCATCCCACCTCACTGGGCTCTGCGGCGTGCACACCCATGGCTCTTCCCCGCGCTCCACCCGGTATAAAATGTCAGGTTTGGGGCCTGGGTAACCTGGAGGGTGGAGCAGAGAGTGTTGTTCTGTAGGAATAAATTGTTAACACGAGAAAATAAAGGTCTTCTCTAGGACACCCCAAGCTGCACTTCACCGTGACCAGCAGAGCCCAAGCGGAAAAAACACCGAAATACGGAAAAAAGCAAGAGAGACATCGGAGCTGCTGCCAGAGATTAATTTATTCACAAGGACAAGGGCAGAGCCCCGATGGGAGGACAGGAACCAACTCCCAGCTCCGCTGACAGGCTTTCCCAGCGAGGGATTATCTGCTGCTCATCCTAGGAGCAGCTCCCGGCTGTGGGACGTCCTCCCAAGTGCCCGGCTCAGATCCTTGATGCTGGTGATCAGAGATCTCCGTCCTGTCCTGGTTCTGAAGGGACCTTGCTGGTTCAGGGAACTCTGCTGTCCTCCCCTGCACCTTGCCTGGCATGTGCTACTCCCGCCCCGCTGCAGCTTGAGCACCCAGGGGAGGGGACAGAGCCGTTGGCCCATGGCCGGACCCCCCCACCAGGTCCCTGCCTGACCTCAGAGCAGGCAGCTCACCCGTGGTTACATTTTCAGAGGCGGCCATCAGCTCAGAGAGACCCAAATCCTGCGTTTGGGTCTCCCAAAGTGACTGCAGGACACCAGGACTGCAGGTCCTCAGAGCAGTTATCCCAACCCTGCAGTTCAAAACATGCTGATCAGCCCCTTAAAGTGCTGGAAGCAGCACAGTTCCGATGGATTCAAACATAACGGAAGCCCCCCCACCCCTGCTGTGCCCCCCCGGCGTTAAACCTGCAGGTTT